TTAGAAGACTAATAAAAACTTACAGTGTAGATGAACATTTGATTATGTGAGGAAATGTTAATGTAATGGTAAGTGAGAAATACATTTTAAGCAGGGCCACAAAGGTAGATAGATTTTATGATCTCATTTTCATTCTTAAACCTGTTCTTATGCTTTGCATATATATATAACTGGCAGGAATCCACCAAATATTACCAGTGGTTTTCTATTCATGGAAGATTACATAGGATTCTTATTTTCTTCTTCATAGTCTAGATTCCAGTCATTCTATAAAGAATATGATTTTCATAATAAAAATACAATGACTTTTTAAAGTATATCAGTGTTCTATTAAGATGTCAAGGTGACTGGAAAATAGAAATTTAAAAAAAAAAAAAAGATACACTATGGTTGTGAAAAAATAAATAAATAAATAAAATGTAAAAAAAAAAAAAGAAAATAGAAATTAGTGTAATTCACTGTCTAGAAAAAGGCAAACTATATCAGGCTGGCTTCATCGATATCTACAAGCAGATACCACCACTGGGTCGGGGGCAGGGGGTGTGGATAGTCATTAGTCCAGGTCATGAGGCATCTGGTAGGATGACGGGACCAACTCACTTCAGCCCAAGCCTCTCAAAGCAGGATTTCCACCTCCTGGGACAGGAGGTGGAGTATATGGAGAGAGTATACGTGCTGAGAGTATACGGAGCCAATGTACCAGCCTTGAGTTGGAACTTTACATTAGCCAATGGTAAGCAATTTGTGCCATTAATTTTATATTAAAAGTGTAAGGTTGTTGTTGAGCTGTGAAAGACGCCGGGATTTTTGGCCTCCAGAGGAGGGGAATTCAATCTGGGGCCAGTGATGAGGCTTGATCGCTCAGAGCTTTTGGGTGATAAAGTTTTAATAAAGTATAAAAGAGACAGAAAACTTCTGACATAGACATCAGAAGGGGGCAGAAAGAGTGCCCCCTGCTAGTCTTTAGCGGGATATTATATAACTACTAGTAGGCTGATAATTTGAGAAAGGGAATGTCTCAAAACTCAGAGGGGCACCAGGCCCCTCACCCACAACATGCATTTTGAGATAACATTGACACAAGGTGAGTCGTCCTGGGCCATAAAATGATTGCCATGACTCTTGAAAGGCAGGTTTCCAAGTAAACATATAGTTTCATTAACATAGATTAGGAGAAAAATGTATGAGTAAAACAGGCTGCTTTGTTGAGCCCTTATCCATTCTGAGTCTTAAGCAGAACCAACTTGAAGAAAGACAGAGTCTAAGGTAAATACATAGTTCATTAACATAGTTTAAGAAAAACATTTCCATAAGAGAAACGCATTGGTTAGCTCAAGGTTTGAGAAAAGTTAAGTTTGGGTGGAACCAGGTGTCCTCATGGCAACACAAAATTTTAATAGAAACCTCCTTTTAATTTTGTATAGATAAGGGAAAAAAATTTGACACTTGTAGTTTGTTTCCTCCTGCTGCTAAAGAGAGAGATAAAAAAATGTCTGACACTTGCAGCCTATTTCCTCTGTTTGGAGACCCCTAGCCTTCCTGCCGGTTACTCTCTCAAAAGCAAACTACAAAATCTATTTGAACTTTTAAGAAACTTGGGGTCTGTGAAAGGCTGCTTTAGGCTATGCTCTTTAAATCACTGCCTTTACCAACAGGTTAGAGGAAAGACTCAGCCTCTGCACTGTTGACACTTAATCCAGCTCATTCTTAGTTGTTACTGGTAGGGGCAGGGGGCAGAGGGCTGTCCTCTGCATTAAAAGTTTAGCACCCTCGGCCTCCACCCACCAGATGCTGGTAGTGAGCACCAAAATGCCTCCAACCATGCCAAATGCCCCTGGGGCACAAAATCACCCCTGGTTGAGAACATCGGTGGCTAAATACCATCAATAGTACTTTGTTGACAAATTCTCGTTTCGTGAAATCTTTTAAGAGAAATTAATCCTGCTAAACTGCAAAGTCTCCTAAAAAGAGAGAATTCAAAGTGGAATTGCACCACATATTAAATTTCATCTAAATTCACTTGCCTTAAAAAAATGAGGCGGGGGGAAGAATAGAAGCAGAGGAGAGGCATAGAAGGTAATTCCAGCCTAAACCAGATAAACACGAAGGGCAGGTAGACAGCCAGTCTTCTCCAAGCACGTGCTGCAGAGTAAGGGTGGGAGACCCCAGCAGTCAGCCCACCCTGAGCAGGGCAGGCTCCTGGACCATCTCCTCCCTCATCTCTGGATGACCTCCACACCGCAGTTGTGGTTTTGGTTCTTCTTTACTACTTTCTTCCTGGATAAAATTCCCTGTAACAAACTGCCCAGCATGGCAGAATCTGCCTGATTGAATCCCAAACGACACAGTGCATCTGTCGGGACCACGTTAAATTTGTAGGTTAACTTGGAGAAAATTGACAACCCTGAGATGCTGTCTTTTTCCTCAGTGGTCATATTTTCATCTGTGAACCTCCCCAGAATTTCAAAGTCCTACTTAGCTCTTGTGTTTGTTTGTTGTGCTTCTTCCTATGTATGTTGTCTTCCGTGTGACTGGTATGAACGGAACTGCTGCACAGGACGGCTGTAAGGATGCAGTGAGTGACCATGTAGGGTCTTCAGGGTGGTCCCCGCCTCACACTAAGTGCCCTATAAGTGTGTGCTGTGATTATCATCTAATTTCTCCCTGTACCCTCCAAATGATTGTTTGAATGTGAGTCACAGTTGTTCTGTTTCAGTTTCATCTCAGCTGCAGTTCAGGTGAAGCTGGGGAGCAGGACTGGATCTTGGGGTGTCATTTTAACAGGAAAGTGTGGTGTGCTGGTAACAGACCCATCCCACAGTCAGCTCTCAGCCCTCTTATAGAGACCCCTTCCCCACTTGTCTGCCCCCAGAACTAGGGTCTTCTCTTTAGTGGCCCATCTTGCCCAGAAGTCAGGGACTGTTTGCTACTGATACCCAATCATTAGAAGCAAGAATACAATTATTATCACTCTCATAAACACACACAAACAGCTTAGGAAAACTAAATTTAAAATTCCTAGCAATCAAAATATTCCTGTGGGTTAAGTCTTACAGTCCAAAACAAAACGAATGTTTACTGCTGACTCTTCTGAAACATGCTGATACTGCTCTCTGTGTATCAGTGAGCAAAGCCATGTAACAAACTTCCCCAAAACTCAGTAGTTTAAAATAACAACCACTTAACTCTGGTTGTGGGTCTACAGGTCAGCTGAGTTGCTCTGCTAACCTGGGCCATCCTTGGCGAATCTCAGGTGGCCTCACTCATGCATCTGTGGTCAGCTGGAAGGTAAGCCACAGATTGGCTGATCTGGGGTGGCCTCCCATGTGGGGTCACTGTTAGCTGTGGCAGTGAACCTGACCAGGCTGTCTATCATCACCCGCAGGCTAACTCAGGTTGGTTCCCATGGGAAAGTGGACATGGGTTGGGCTCCTTGAGACTCATGCTTAGAATCGACCCAGCACCACTGTCCACCACATCCTGTTTGCTGAAGCAAGGCAGGAAGCCAACCCAGACTCAAGGGTGGGAAACAGACCCCCCCTCTTGCTGGGCAGGGCTACAAACTATAATATAAAGGGGTCAGAACACAGAGGAACCTGACGGGTTAGAGTCACAGCCAGTCTCCCTACATCAAGGTGTTTTCAGCATTGTTTTCCTTTTAGCAGAGGTTGCCTGTGTCACTAGCAGCCAACCCGTGGGCTGGTTCAAGGGAAGGTTCCCCAGCGGGTAGCCTCACTCACTGATGCTGATTCATGTCTGTTTCACTTCCCAAGGGCCCCATCCTTGACACTGAGAACTAATCTGAGCCGGCTTGAGAGGGTGAGCCTTGTACCCTCTCAGTTGTAACGATGCTATTGTTCCCTCTGGGTCTTGGTTTCTTCAGGCAGTTGCCGGTTTGGATGGAGTTTTCCAAGACAGATTTACCAAGACACTGAGGACACTTCTCAGCTAGTGGCTGAATCAATCTTTGTTGATGTTTTGACTCAGTCAGTCACAGGCTAATTAACTCCAAGTCCTATTAGAAGCAATCAAAATGTCACTTCTCATTGTCAGGAGGCAGGAGACCTTGGAGGTAATTCAGACACCTCCTTTCCTCTGGCGTGTGTGAGTGCTCAACTGCTAAGACTATCTGACTCTTTCCGACCCCATGGACTGTAGACCTCCTGGCTCCTCTGTCCATGGGATTCTCCAGGCAAGAATACTGGAATGGGTTGCCATTTTCATCTGCATGTGATCTCCCCAACCCCAGGATTGAACCAGCCTCTCCTATGTCTTCTGAATTGCAGGCAGATTCTTTACTGCTTGAGGCATCAGGGAAGCCCCTCAGTAAATGTTAGGTGAGTTCATTAATTAATTGCTGAACAAGGAACTGCATGGTGACATTTGATTTTGCTTTTGAAGCCCGACCCAGGAGTGCAATCTCTGAGTGAGAAACTCTTAAGTGACTCAGCCAGAAGGACACAAGGTACGTGTGCTATGCAGGCGGCCCTGGCACGCTGCTTCCTGCCCGTGACCCCTACTGCTTCCATGCATCTCCACGCCTGGTGTCCAAACGCCTGCCTGCACCTGCGATTCTCATTTGAGGGCTGTCCTGGACCCTCCGAGCCCCATGCCCCTTGGACCCACCCAGAGTGACCTGAGGCCCTTGAGACTGGGGTGTAGACGGCCCCTCTGGACAAGGTGCCACCATAGGACAGGGCCCTCTGGCCCCCTCCTCTTCCTTCTGGCCATCCTGTTTCCCCTGAAGGCCCTTTAGTTCTTTGGCATTTTTCTCACCCCTTTGTCTGCAGGGTGTGGGGTAGGGGGTCGTCCATGTTCTTTCCCCTGGGGGGCCTTCCTCCTTCAGACCATCTTCTTTCCCCTGGGGAGCCCCCCTTCATCCTTCAGACTGTCTTCTTTCCCCTGGGGGCCCCACTTCCTCCTTCAGACCATCTTCTTTCCCCTGGCCCCCCCTTCCTCCTTCAGACCATTTTCTTTCCCCTGTGGGGCTCCCTTCATCCTCAGACCATCTTCTTTCCCCTGGGGGGCCCCCTTCCTCCTTCAGACCATCTTCTTTCCCCTGGGGGCCCCCTTTCATCCTTCAGACCATCTTCTTTCCTCTGGGGGGGCCCCTGTCCATCCTCCAGAGGGGGCTCAGGCTGCTGGGGAGAGGGCTCCATGCCGCTGTCAGGACGCACAGAGTTGTCCCCCTTAGAAACCACCACGCCCCCTTTGGCTGGGATGGAGAAGACACAGAAGCCAGGACCCATGAGACTGGAGTCTCTGGAGACCATCATGTACCGTCCTTTGGTGTACAGATCGGTCGGGGCGGGGAGGCCCTCGGGTTCTTTGGGGCCTTTCACCTTCTCCTTGATCATCTTGCCTAGTTTCTCAAAGGCTTTGCTTATCTTGCCTCCATCTGTGACATCCTCTGGAGCCCCTTCCTGGGTCGGCGGACTTGCCTCTTCACCCCCCGATTCAAGCTTAGACTCGTCCTCTTCTTTGAGCACCACCTGCCCCGGCTTCGTGTCCTCTGGACCTCTCAGCGGTGTCTTTTCCAGAATTTCATCTGCTCTGCCTTTTGCTACCATCTCCTTTTTCCTTGGAAGGTTCTTGGGGAGGCCTTTGAGTCTTGGTTTCACTGCAGTTGTATCCTGCACGGCCCTGGTGAGATCTTTGAAAAAAGCAGGCGGGTGCAATGAGTCAAGGCCAGTGAAAAAGGAAGAAAAAGGATTTGTTGAAAAATACATGCCTAGCACTGGGGTGGCATTTACTGGTTGGCTGGTTGGCAACAGGGTAGGATCCCTGGGTCCTAAGCATTCATGACCCACACTGAGGACCCAGCCCTGCCGGCCGCTGTGTGACTTTGGGACAAGTCACTTGGCCCCTCTGGGCTTGCAGAGCAGAAGGGAGGTCCCCACAGTTCCCTTCACACTGGGTACAACTTACTGAGATCCGTGTTTCTCCTGCAATGACACTCTGGGGGAGCAGGGCCTCTGCCCCACCCCAGCACCCTCGCCTCGAGGTCACAGGGGACACTTGGATCCAGCCCACACCAGGAAATCCAGTCCAGAGAGCCACTGTCACCTCAAGCTTCCCCAAAGGAGAAGCTCAGAGTCACCCCACCTTACTCTGATGGGTTTGGAACAGCCTCCAGGCACACCCTTGTACCCCCTGCACCCCAAACCAGATAAACACTGCCACTCCTTGCTTACCATCCCCTTCCTCCTATGCAACAAGAGGAAACTATGCCCTTAAACTCAGAGTGGGAATCCCCTGGGCCAGAGGCCACATTCACTGCTTCAGACCAGCCAAGAGGAGAAACTTAAAGATTCAGAAAACAAAGTTTCACCCTGTCTCATCCAAAAGGCGGGTTTTTAGTTCCAGGTGGCTGCTGCTGCTGCTAAGTCACTTCAGTCGTGTCCGACTCTGTGCCACCCCATAGATGCAGCCCACAAGGCTCCCCCATCCCTGGGATTCTCCAGGCAAGAAATGGAGTGGGTTGCCATTTCCTTCTTCAATGCATGAATGTGAAAAGTGAAAGTGAAGTCGCTCAGTCGTGACCAACTCATAGCGACCCCATGGACTGCAGCCTACCAGGCTCCTCTGTCCATGGGATTTTCCAGGCAAGAATACTGGAGTGGGTTGCCGTTGCCTTCTCTGACACAGGTGGATACAGCCATATATGTAGGCATGGGTATGGATAGGAATAATGGAGACTCCACTGCAGATGTGTGTGTATATAAAGACAATGCAGATACCGATGGTTTATACATATACATAAACATGATGGAGGTGTAGACAGTTTATGCATGTACATAAAAACAACGGAGATGTAGACAGTTTATCAGGTCAGTTCAGTCGCTCAGTTGTCTCCAACTCTTTGCGACCCCATGAACCGCAGCACACCAGGCCTCCCTATCCATCACCAACTCCCGGAGTCCACCCAAACCCATGTCCATTGAGTCAGTGATCTAATCCAACCATCTCATCCTCTGTCATCCCCTTCTCCTCCTGCCCTCAATCTTTCCCAGCATCAGGATCTTTTCAAATGAGTCAGCTCTTCACATGAGGTGGCCAAAGTATTGGAGTTTCAGCTTCAACATCAGTCTTTCCAATGAACACCCAGGACTGATCTCCTTTAGAATGGACTGGTTGGATCTCCTTGCAGTCCAAGGGACTCTCAAGAGTCTTCTCCAACACCATAGTTCAAAAGCATCAATTCTTCGGTGCTCAGCTTTCTTTATACTTGTACATAAAAACAATGGAGATGTAGACAGCTTATACATGCACATGAAAACCACGGAGGTATAGACACTTTATGCATGTACATAAAGATGATGGAGATTTAGATACTTTGTGTAGATGACATGCAGGCTTAGGTAATAAAGATGTAAGTGTAACCATAGATAATGTAGATATAGGTGTATGTAGATACAGATGTAAGTGATATAGATGTGGATACAGATGATGTAGATGTGGGTGGAGGTAGAGATGCAGATGTAGATGATGTAGAGGTAAGTGCAGGTGTAAATGTAGGTGATGCAGGCATCAGCGTAAATAACAGAGGTGTTGAAGAAGATGGTGCAGGTGCAGAAAATGCAGATATGGGGTAGACGTACATGTAGATGATCCAGACAGACATAGATGGCAGAGTAGGTGTCAGATGTAGATACAGATGATGTAGGTGTAGGTGATGTAGAGGCAGGTGTAGGTGTAGATGATACAGATGTAGGTTAGGTGATGTGGGTGTAGCTACAGATGATGTAGAGAATGTAGGTGTAGTGTAGATGTACACATACAGATGCTGTAGACACAGATGTGGACATAAGTATACGTGTAGGTGCAGACACGGTCACATAGATGAACATGGAGGAAACGGAGAGTAGCCGATGCAGGTGTAAATGTGAATGGGGCTGAGACAGAGACACTTGCCAGCAGAGTTCACACCCCAATGCATCGTGCAGAGGAGACCAGACAGCCTGTTGGCAGTGACAGTACTGACTGGCCAGGTGCTCAGTCACCATGGCATCAGCAGTATATTACTGCTCTGAGCACTGGTCCAGTTCCAGGTACTGTGTAGGCATCTCAATAACCACACTTGGTCATCCTTTCAGCTAAGACGTTCCTGTCCCCAAAGACCTGTGGAACTGAAAGGCACCTTGACATCCAAACACTCCCATGGTCATCTTCATCACCTCTCCCCTCCCCGCACCATCACTCAAGCCAGAGCCCATATCTCTGCTGCGAACCCATTCATCCTCTGCCTTCCCACTACCGTTCCAGACCTGTGAGGTCCTGGATTTGGGGATTTCCTTCTGGTGGCTCAGATGGTAAACAATCTGCCTGCAATGGGTTGGGAAGATCCCCTGGAGAACAGAATGGCTACCCACTCCAATATCCTTGCCTGGAGAATCCCATGGACAGAGGAACCTGGCGGGCTATAGTCCAGGGGGTCACAAAGAGTCGGACATGACTGAGCAGCTAACACTTTCACTTTCCTGCCATATTCCCTACAGATTGGAACTGGCACATGGAAAAACTTGAAACAAGTAAGTGGTTCTGTGCCCACCGGCTCTGCCCACCCCGACCCTACCTATTGCCTGTATTCTCGATGATGCGATGATACTGGTCCAACTCGTTCCTCAGGGTCTGCTGGGCGACCAGCAGCTGCCGGCAGTCATAGGATGAACTTTCCAGGCTCCTCTCTGCCTCTTCAGTCTCCTTCCGCAGGGTGTCGATCTGCTCATTGTAGAGCTGAATCTCGCCATCATCACACTCTTGGGCATCTCTGATGTCTTGTTCCAGGGCCGCGATCTGTGGGCAGAGACATGGTCACGAGGAAACCCAGTCACCCTCTCTCTTCAGACACAGATGCAGCAGTGGAGAATCCAGACAGCATACCCAGTTGTATTTGTCTTGTTGGTTTGTTTCTCTGTCAGCAGAGAATCTTTAAGCCACAGAAGGATGTGACAACTGAACCCCTTCCCCTGATGCTTGTATCAGCACCCCCTGGAAATCAGCCTTTAGAGGAGCCCCCGACCCAAGGCAGTAGAAAGATGAGAAACTCAGAAAATAAAAACTGCCATCCCTGGACTAACATGTACAACTCAAAGTACATTCTTCATACTTTACTGAGTTAGCATGAAAAGGTAGTAAAAAGAAGAACATGGACTAAATAGATAAGATGCTATAATAATGAAAGGGGGGGGTTCCTTCATCTTATTCAATCACTATGGCACTTTAATTTTCTCCTGATTTCTGACCAGTAGAGTTACATATATGTTTTGATAGCTAAAATGTGTGTTTGTGTGCACTGGCACTTAAGTAAAACAACTTCAGAGAAACGCTATTTATATATTAAAGCAGGGCAAGTCAAAATTAAGGTAGGAAAATGAAAAGAGATTCCTCATCTTCACTTTAAGAGCTGTGACAACCCACAAGCAGCCACAAGCTGCTTACTTATTTACAAGTGAACTTCTTTACAAGCTCAGTACAAGCTCACTTTCCCACGGATTAAACAGGACAGGCGTGGCCAGTCCTCCAAAACAAAATAAAACGTGTAAACTGAAACCCACTTCATCTGGAAGAGCGCTTGTCAAACTTCAACAAGCATGTGAACCGCCCGAGGATACGTTTTGCTCAGATTCTGACTCAGCAGCTCCAGTGGGACCGGAGGGGCCGGGTTTCTAAGTGGCTCCTCGGGAGAGGAAAACCCAGGAAATGAACCCATTTTGCAGCTCTCCTGGAGAAAACAGAACCAGGTAGGAAAAGTGCAGAGGAGCAGATAGGAAAATGAGCCAGTGGGGCGCTGGCGCAGGGGGAGGGGGGTGGGGGTGGGCGGGGCGGGGGGAGTGGGGGTCGAGGGTCAGAGAGCCCTCCCAGACCCCAAGGTGCTCACCGCAGGCTTCCCTGCACTTCACACTGTAAGCCTGGCTTCAAGTAAGAGGGGCTCCGTGAGACGCTGCTCATCTGGCCCCTTGGTCCCCCTCGACCTACCGCCTCCCTCCCCTCCTCCTGTTTCTCCCACACTCCACCCTTTACTTGTCTTCCTTGACCAGCCTAGTCCGTTCGTGCCCCAGAAAAGCACGGAAGTAATAAACCCACTGGGCTCATAATTCTCGGTTCTTTCACCTGCCCTGGAGTCTAAAGGTGCCCAGGGCTGAAAGGTGCTTGGAGTCAGGGTGATGTGAATGGTTGAGACTGAGAAATCACCTACCGCGGCTGTGGGTTGGGCTTTGCTAGCTGGCACCGCCCCGGAATGGGCGGGGGCGGGGCCCTCTGGGGGCGGGGCTTGGGGGTAGCGGGGCCCCGTTTCCCGGGTGACGGCCTCGCGGAAGAGACGGGGCTCGGGCCTCCAGGCTCCCCGGGCCGCGATCTGAAACTGTGGCCTCTGAGAGTCTATCAGTAGTAGGGCAGAAGAGAGCGCCAGAGGCCAGCGGCTCTGGACCGAGCAACTCTAGTCGTGGGGACGGGCGGCCTAACGGAATCAGGCTTAGGAGAGGCTGGTCCGAGTGACAGGCTGGGGGCGTGGCCTGTGAGACCCGGAAGCGTGCGAGGCGTGAGTGGGAGTGCCCGGCCTTGGGCGACT